TGGCCTCGCCGCTGCCCGCGCCGCCAGCCCGCGGCGGCCGAGGGGCCGCGCCGCCATCCTGCTCTGCGCGCAGGACGGCGCCGAGTGCAGCCGGCCTTGTCTCTGCGCCTCCATTGGGCCTTCAGCCCTTGTTTTTTTTTATCATATTTTTTTTTTTTTTTACTTTTTCTGTTTTTTTCCTTCTAGCTCATCTCCTGCCAGGTGCACAATGAGGTGGAGCTGTCATTGGCGGCATCACCACTGTCCATTTATTAGCAATCTCTCTATATGTTTTTAATAGAACACCGTAATCACTACACACAATTCGCGCTGCTCAGGCCACTCGCTTAGCATGCAAATTGGTTTAAAAGCACAGTTTTTACTTGAGTTGCTAGCACCGCCCAAGCCCTGCCTGCTACTTTGCAAAAGATGGAGGTGACAGACATGGGCAGAGAGCAATGGAAACTTCCTCTCCAGCAAGGCGGCTCAGAGTACTTCTTAGAGTTGTTGGAACACGTGGAACACTTCTTGGTGTTCCTTGTGGTCTGGAAATTGGGGGAAAACATTACCTGAAAGTCTACCAGCCGCTAACAGGAGATCTTGGAAAGTCACCCAGATTTGCTGGTCCTCTTAGGTCTTTGGGGACATACCAAGACATCTCTTTAGGAGTCTGCCCTTTTCCCATGGACCTGTACATGCGGTTGCTGCCTGTGTGCAGGAAGGCAGGGGAGGCAGCAGAGGCCCAGAAGGAGCATTCCCATGCGCATGGGCTGCTCACATGCTGTACCTGTCCTGGCCAAATAGCACTTTCCCAGTCTGGCTCTATATGTATCTATCTTGCCATCTATGGCCTGGCCCCAGAGTCCTCGAGACAGCCTGAAGCAGGAGCCCAAGCTGACAATAAATCTACCTCACATCTTTGCAGGTGGCAACACCAGTGCTGAAGGCCAAGGGTGGATTTTCCATGGAGCTGGCTATGAGGCTTTGCTTTGCAGCAAAGGGGAATCCTGAAGGGGCTGAGCTAGGCCTGTGGCGCATAGTGCCACAGGCACTACAGGGTAAGCAGTAGTCTTGGTTCTAGTCTTGGACTATTCTAAGTCTTGGTTTCATCCCTATGGTTCAGTGTCTATAAGTACCTCAAGGGAGGCAGTGAGGAGGATGGTGCTGACCTTTTTTCACTGGTGGCCACCAACAGAACTAGAGGAAACGGCCGGAAACTGAAGCATCAAAAGTTCCACAGGAACTTAAGGAAAAAATTCTTAACAGTGAGGGTGACAGAGCACTGGAACAGGCTGCCCAGAGAGGTTGTGGAGTCTCCTCTGGAGATCTTCAAAACCCGCTTGGACGCAGTCCTGTGCCACGTGCTCTAGGTGACCCTGCGTGTGCAGAGGGGTTGGACTAGATCTCTAGAGGTCCCTTCCAACCTTAAGCATTCTGTGATTCTATGATTCTATGATGTAAGAAATCTGAGCCAAGGACTGAGTCTTATCTAATTATATAATAAAGATATCACACTGCATCTTAGAGTGTTTTGGACTTTGCAGCAAGCTATGCAGAACACTACCCTTCCTCTTCACTCAAATATTCATGGAATATCTGAAAGTCTCTTATGATTCTATGATTCTATGATCTGAAAGTCTCCGAGTAAAATTTCAACTAAAGTAGAGGCCTGCAGTAAGGACAGGATGCAGCTGTGATTTAATGTGTGGATGTCCCATTTTCAATGGGAATTAGATTTGAAAGATGTGACACACCTGCCTTGAGTTAAGCAAGCACATAAACACTTGGTGGATCAGGGCCAAAGCCAAACATATGATCAAGGTATGTCTGAGGAAAGTCTGCTCTGATTTGAACACGCTTTAATGTTTCTACTTATCAACATGAAAAGTTTTGATTTCACGTAACTGCCTTGTTCCCCAGATGCTGCTCGCTTACAGCACATCTGTTACTGGTGACAATAAAATCAAGACGAATACATTCAGCTTCTAGTCCTTTGCCCCTTATTTAAGGCTATAATGTGATGGCCACTGCAAAGAAATGTTTGACAACAGGTGGTGGATGCTTCAGGTTTTCACCTGCAATAAAATAACTGTTTTCATAGCAGAATTTGTAAGATTTAACAAAAAAATGTTCCCCTAAGTCAGTATTGCAATGTCTCCCTTAACTTGGTAGATATAAACTCTTGTAGGCCTTCAGTTAAGTCTTGCTAAAAAGGATGGAGTTTTTTTTGAACCCACTAAACTGCTAAGATAACGAAGAGAATTGAGGAGTCCCTTTTAGTGTGGAGTAGAATGGATTCTGGCATGCTTGTTTATTAAATAATTACTGATAAATGTATGTATACAGATATATGTATGACAAAAATGGGAAGTGCATTTAGAGATCTCCAGTCTGCTTCACAAAGTGAAATTAGTGATGGTGAGCCCTGATAGTCTTCACTCCTCACTTTTATCTGTAGCTTACCTGAAAAAAATAAAGGCTTCTCTTGACTGTGGTGTCATCTCAGATTGTTTTGAATCTAGGAAAAGTGCAGCACCTTGGACCTGTTTTCTCCCTGTTAAGGCTATATATTATAGAAAAGGAGCAATAGCTGCTGCAGAAAGACAGGCTACAGTTTTGAAAAGCATCAGCCTCAAAAGAAATACAACACTGTGGTCCAGATTACCAGAGATACTTTGAAGAATGGATCATTTTTCAAATTACCAGAACGTGCATGGGAAAAATAAAAGAGACTGCAAAGCTGAAGAGGCAGGCAGATGGACACCCTAGGTGACACAGACCCTGCTCTGAATATGGTTAGTTCCAATTAAAATGAAACAAACTCCCTCTCCCAGTTATCAAAACCTGTTCCAAAAAAATATTTGCCAGCAACTCTGTGGCTCCAAGTCAGTTACCTTCCAAAATCAATTGGTCATCATCTTTCTCTTTTACAGTCTTCTTGCTGGCTTTTTTTTTTTTCTGGCAGCCACTGTGAGGTTTATCCCCCCAAGTGATTTGTTACCCACACTTTGAAAATACATGACTGCCTGGACTGCTGTGCAACTACTGGTGAGGAACAGCAGCTTGTAGCCCTGGCTTTGACCTGTGCGAGGAGCAGGCAGAAGGCCTGGTGGTGGCACCCTCAAACTCATCCCTGAAAAGGCACCAGAACAGAAGAACCCTTGCATCAAGTGAAGGAATCCACTAGAACTAACTGGATCAGAGGAAGATTCATACACACAAAGCTTGCCTTGATTTTCAGTCCTCACCGCCTGGGCTATTTGCATTCCATCTCCCACTCCCCTCTCTCGAAACAACCATGGGCAGTCCTGTTCCTCACAGGCTGACAACTCCAGACAGTTACAGGGGGCTGCATCTTCTGTGGAGAGGGCAAGAGGCAAAGAGGGGTGTCATGGGCCGCAGCCACAGATCTGCTCGTGGAGATAAAGCTCCTTGGGGCAGTCGATGGGCTAGCTGAGCAGTGCATCCTCTGCTAAAATGCCATCCTCAATGCACACACTAATGCCAGGTGATGTCTCACTGTCATTCTTAGGAATGCAGATGTCTGAAAAAAGAGGTGAATTAAAATCTTCTCAAACACACTTCAGAGCAACACTTTTCCTTTCCTGCACAGCCCTGAGGGAAGGGCTTGGCCTTCCAAGACTGTCAGGAGCAGAGAGGAAAAGAAAGGGGGATGTTCCTTTTTAAAGTGCATACAAACCTCAAGTAAACAGCTATCGAAGTCTTGCTGCTGTCTTTCTGTGCTTTGCCCTCTCAGTACTACTCGTGTAAGGCATGATTTCAGTAGGGCTCTAAGCAGCAGCAAGCAGGAATTATCTGGTGTGTGAGCCTAGTTCCCATTTAGTGGTTGCAAACCAATGAGTCAAAATCAGGCATGTTTTACTGCTTTTTAAGAATTGCAGGGCTGGTGGCTCTCTATTTGCTCATGTCCCCAGAAGCATCTGAACTGACTTAAGTCTGAATTTCTAGCACCCTTTGCTTTTCTGGATGCCCAAACCCACAAACAGCACTCATAAGTTCATAACTGGGGCAAAACTGGATCTGTGGTCTTTCCACATTGCCACAAAACTTCTCCAAGTAAGCGGACGACTTCCTCTGCAGCACCCCCAGCTCACCCAGAGCGTTTGGCATAGAATAGCTGAATTCAGAGAACAGAGCCAGAGGGTAGGGTACACATACAGCGGAGATTGCTGGACTAGGCTATGCTTGGTTTCTGTATAAACCTATCTGCCCTGCTGCTCTGTGTGATTTACAAGTGAAGGACACATGATGCCCTATATAGTGTCACTGCTTTGCAAGCCATCGCTAAGAGTTCATGGTTCACCTGCAGGAGAATTAAGTGCAAAACCCATGATACTTGGTGGCTATACCCAATCTGCCACAGACAGACTTTCCCCACACAAAGAGGAGCAGCTCAGTCTTCTTTTCGTAACGTGCCATCTGGGAGTGCACTTGTAGGCTCAGCAAATGATGCTGTCCCTACAGTGGTACCTCCCAGCCTTGCACCATGCCCAGCAATCCAAAGGATTAGGAGAGAGAGTTCTCCGTGGATTAGTCAAGATGTTGGTCTGCTTTCACTTGTCTTAAAAAAAAGGGGGGGCGGGGGAGGGTGTTAATCCACCCTATCTATGCATTAACACTCTTCCACCCCCACCCTAATCCTGTCCCCTTAAGGTGCTCCACCTAAGAAGAAATCAAACAAGTTAATCCCATCTCGCCCCTCACAGCCCTGGACACAGCCGCAGATGCTGGACTCATCTGGCTCTGCTGCCACCTCCTGAGAGGCCCCAGCGTGGCGGCCTGCCCGCCGAGGGGACATGTTGCGCAGCCAGAGCCGCGGCCTGTGCTGCGGCGCCCACAGGGCCCGCAGCTCCCCGCGCTGCCCACAGCCCCAGGAGGTTGGGCCCAGAGGTGGGCCCAGGAGTGACCGGGGGCAACGCGGCCCCCTCGTTTATTCGCAAGGCTGAAGGAACGCCCGGAGGGTGAAACTGTCTGCAGCAACCAAGAAAAACGCGTGTGGGAGACAGAGGGCTTGAGAGAGAAAGGAAAGTCCTGCTTTAACCTAAGATCCTGAGATGCCAGAGATAAAGGCTGAGAGATTGACCTGGGGAGAAGATGGCAAGTCTTTTTTTTTT